CTTTTCATGCCCGTCCATTTCAGATTTTTACGACGGCTTCTCCCGCAACCCTCTCTATCAACATTTATCACCAACAATTTTATGTTTGATGCTCCTATGATTGTTGCAATTGGCACGCTTCCATCTCCAAAAAGTTCGTGGAGTGTAGCTTATAGGAGGTATCCTTAAAGCTACAAAAACTAAAAAAATCTATCCTTAGCCTCCTCACCCAAACAAAAAAAATTACAAAATGGGACCCCTCTCATTCGATCTGCCAGACGAGCAGATCAAAGGAGAGGGGTGCCATTTTAAAAATGAGAGGACTCTCATTTTGTAATTTTTAGGATTAACGCAGGTCATGAGTCTTCGCAAAGAGGAATCGGAATTCGAAACCAAGAGATCGGAAATGTTCAAGAAAAGATTCAAAAGTAGGGAGATGCCAAAATCAAATTTTTTTACGGAATGAACCATGAAAGTTGTCTGTCATTTTCTTCGAACGACCTCTTCTTCTGGACATCTTGTAGAACAATAAGAAGTGGATAAATGACATGTTGTAGAACAATAAGAAGTTCATAAATAATCCAGTCTAAAAGTTGTACAGACGAACGTCGTGCCCAGGGAACCTATTCCAGGCAATTTCCAGTGATTATTCTCTCAGCTCAACAAAATCCAGATATAACCTGCGCTCTTCCCTAATTATTCTCGCAGCTGAATCAAGTCCAGAGATCATAAGCGCTGATTTAAACGAATATGAAAACCTTCGTATCTTCGAGTTGACTGCAATGGACTTACCACGTAGGTGTAATTACTGTGCCGTTCTAGAAATATCCGCACTGTATAGAATAACCAAAAGGCGAACAATATGAACAGCACAAAGAAGCACAGTGCTGCTCGAGCGAAATACCTAGAAATGTCTGATTTTAGTGGGTTGTCAAGGAAGAACTAAGAGCATCAACTTTCAAATTTACTATACTGAAAGAAATCAAGAACTGACAAACGTGGTAGGTCGGCGGCAGCCCGTCGCCAGTAAAGTGCCCATAAAGCAACAATAAGTAATAGGGATTTAATCGCTACTAACAACAAATACCCTTGACAATCGACCTAAAATGATCAGGTTGTTACTATATTATGATATTTAGCAAGAAAAAGAAAAGAGTAGGTAACTTACTTCACAAGTAATCTGAGGGTAATGATATCCTACATAGTTCATGGCTATCGGTAATGAACACATCAATGGAGCTGAGACAAGAGCTAGCAATGAAATCAAACCGGCTGCACTCAACCACAACATCCGTGAGCATCTGAAAGGAACAAAACATGGTAGAAGAAGTTTGACTACAATTCTATGACCTCCCAGCAGACCCGGGTCTACGGTTGAGCCTAGCAATTAGATTGAAGCAATAAGTAGTCCAGTTTAATTCATAGCAAAAGCGTGCCAGATATCGGCACTGCTATAAAGTAAACATTCTTTAATCAAGAAAGAAAAACCATTATAAACGAAATAATTAAATAATTCTTTAATAGCAGTGACTAAAGTTCTAGTAGTACTGCACAGAGTAAGAGATTAATGCTGCATTCGTAGGCTGTTCAGAAAAGGGCAATCTGCCGTCTCACACTCATTAGAAGCCATACTAAGAATCACTGCGAAGTCATGCTCCGAAAATGGGCGGACTCACTTCTTCCGGAGCCAAAGCACTTTTTGAAGCACCATGCAGTACAGGCAGTCGCAGGTGTGATCGTGTTTTGTATAGGCTAACAGGCACGCTGTCAGCTGCTTCATACGCATAACCCAGCCGGAACCCTAACCAGGAAAGTCATTCAAGACATGGAACGCTTTTTCGAAACGGTTTTTTGATCTTACAAGGGCTCGCGCGAAATGCATAAGACTGGGGACCAGCTCTGGTGACTTTGGACTTGACTGACTTGACTTGGAAACTGAAGACTTTCTAAGCGGGGCTGGGAAAAAATATCCTAAAAGACATGCGAAACTATGCCTTGGTCTGATCACAAAATTCTTGGATTGGATTTCTCTTTCTCTACTTTCACCACATTCACCGATCTATTATAAAACCTTCCAATATTCAACTGATCAACGCTACAAATGCGTTGGAGTATGTTGAGAATGTAAAAATTCCACTTCCTGTATTGAGCTGTTCGCTATTTTCGGCAATACCAGTGCCGCTCAGAAAAAAATATCACTAGTTTTGCCCCACGTACGTGCCACTATAGCATGCAAAAACCGTTTCGAAAAAGCGGTCCACATCCCGAACGATTTTCTTGGTAAGGGTAAAGTATGCGCCCAGTAAGGTGATAATTTATTGCTAGGCTTCATACTGACACCCCCTATATGGCGCAGCAGTTGGACAAATGGGCAAGCACTCGATAATAACTATGGAAATATACATGTAGGGAACACCACCCACCCATTACATAAAATACAGCCGAATAATTGAATCAAGTTGATAGACAGACTTCCTGTGAAGAAGGCTCCCTGTCAGCTCCATTTTAGAGCCTCTAGAGTACACCTAGATTCAATACTAACCATACTGTAGTGGCCTCTGGTTTGTGAGCCACCTCGGAATCCAGAGAACCCTTACTCACATTCGATGGCGAGCGTGTGCAGTGGGCTCCACCAATGAGAAATGTACAATTAGAAGGTTAGGCCTTCCTCATTGGTGAATCGTTCCTCGTTGCCGGCCGGATAGAACGCAATAGTCCAACTGACTCCACCCATACTCACTGGGTATACTGCCTTTAGGACACCTTCAGCTGGTTGATGCCGCTGTATTGAACGCCTGCCAGAGTGATATAGCACAGGGACGTAACGCAGCGATGCCTTCGATATATTACAAATAATTAGGTACCGAGAGGTAACTTTCGGTCCCTCCTGGATTAGCACTCAATTCTATGTCTGACTTCTCTATAAAAGTATTATAAAGATTGTAAATGGCACACCACCCATTCTTGTTGTGCATCAATATAGTGTATTCTACATATCCTACAACATACATATGCTTACCTTCGACTGACAACACGTCCCATAGGGGGCTCATAAACGGGCCGATCGTCGCCACTGTAGGAGTGTTCACTGGTTAACCCCGTCAGTACAGTTGTGTTTTCGCCGTATTCTTCAGGAGGCAAGCTCATTTTCACTCCCTGAAATTATCATTGAAAAACTGCCTCTACTACGTGACTGAAATCTTTCACCTCGCTGGCCACTGCTGGAAAACCGAGGAATACATGGTTCACCGACGTCGGATTGCGAATAACCCCGTCCTCGTGGTTTAATCAGTCTGAGATCACCTCTGGGTGGCCCGCGGAAGTCCTTCGGCGGACCACGGCGACCGCCGGCGGACACCGTTGACATATCGTCAAAGTTCCTGAAATTCGGGTTAGCTCTGTAAAAAAAGAACTGCGAAATGTATACGGTGCAATAGCAGCACGACAAGGAAAGCTGCACTTCAGTTGAGCCAATCCAAGCGAAAGCTGGACCAAAAGACATATTTCAGTTAGAAGAAGCTTCAAAAAAATCGTAATAAAGTAAGAGAGTTGTTTCGCTCAAAGGTATAAAAACGAGGAAACATTCTAAAATTAAGGAAATGGAATTTAAATGAAAACGATGCTTTTCTGCTGGAAAACATTCCTTTTCCTCAGACGACAAAATGAGATTCCTGTCAGAAAAACACAAACAAAAGCAAAATAATAAAATAATAATTGAATAATTATAACTGACATGTACACGGTTTACTATTGACTGACAATTGAGTGGTAATGTTACATCAGAATGGTATAAAATTACCACGTAAATCTCATAAAGTAAGATAATATTTAGTGAAGGTGTCTAGTATGGTGGCAAATGGAGCTGTTTTTCACGCGCACGGTGCGGGATTCGATTCCTGGAACGGATCTCACCCAAGCCAACCAAATCATTCGCTTTCTGACGTCAGCTGATTGGAACAGATCTGCCTGAGAGCAGAAGTTCACTGACTTGGATATTGGCTGCCTACGCATGTCATTTGTGGGCTATATCCGCATTCAAAAGCCTTTTGCTATTCTGGATGGAAGTAGAATGCGCAGCGCATTGGGATCTCTTGACGCATATGCTCTTCGTCTTTTGTAGAACAACAAGAAAACCCGATATGTGCATCGATCGATAAGTTAAACGTTGATTTTTGAAAGTACTGGTTAAAAATTTGAACAGAAGGAACTTTGGATCACTTGGGTAGCGAAACAAGAAGGACAAGAAGTGAGATATATTTCAGCTAATATAAACGAGATAATAAATCAACATGCAAATGTCGGCATTCAGTAAGGGGAAGACTGCATGTTTAGAAACGAATTAATGATAATTATATCAAAAGTTCAAAAAATCAAATAAATTTATAAAAATGCACACATTTATGAAGTAGCAGGAAATACTAAAATTATTAGCTGTGCATTAGGACATGTGGAGCAGGATTTGGGTGAGCCAGTGAATAAGCATTACGAATGCATGTAATGCTTGCCATTCATGCGATCTAAGATCGCCATTCAGATCAAAGGTCAGTGATACTTAGTAATACTTGTTACGAAACCCATATCTGAAGCCATAACTCTTGCCGACAATGTGTAATCACTTTTTATACTCGCTTACCAGTAAGAACTGCAGGGATACGCTACTATGAACAAACCTGAAGTATAAAAAAAGATGGAAGGAAAGGCAATGGACATTGATCAGCTGATTCATAACTGAAGATTGAGTGATTTCATGATGTAAGCCAACCACGGAAAAATTGAAGAATGGGTACCGGGATCGAAGAGATTTTGGCCTTAAAAAATTGCTCGATATTTTATGCATAACCACCAACTAATAAGCTTGTTAATGGACTTCGAGAAACGTTATAACTATTCGATAAAAACAAAGAAATGCTTGAAAATAATACTAGAGTTCGGTTAAAAAAACTGTAAGCTTCTTAGAGTTAATTTAATTTTCTCTAGCTCGCATTTCAGTGGATTACACGATTTTGTGCGTTTAAATCACAAGCTTCCTGTAGGCAAAGGGTTGGCTCTGCGCCAAGGTCACCACTATCTGCTCATGGTACTGAGAAACATTTTTGTAAGTAACTCACAAGATTGCGAGAATCGAACAAGTAATGGTGCTTTTGAAGGGAAAAAGGCTTATTACGTGAGTTATCCAATCACTGGGCTAAGCAAAAAAGCGTCAAATTGTAAACTGCATAACGTAGGCTACAAAACGTCAAACGTTTATAGAGTAATAAAAACTGCTTTCGATCGATAGGAAATATTGAAAATTGCAAAGCACCAAGAAGAACGAGGCTACTACCCGAGTCCCAACAATAATTATGTAACATCGTAATACACAGAGAAGAGCTAAAGCTTATGTTTCGAGGAAGAGTCATAGGCTAGTGAATTCAAGACGACAGCGGTAGAGCACAAAGATCGATTCACTATGGGTGGCCTCCACTATTTGATCCATGGCTAATTATTACTGCCTCTTCATGGAACCATAATACATAGCAAAGGCATGAACACTTGAACAGTTTCAGAATAGAACTCCAATTAAGAAAGATGAAAAATTTCGTAAGACTGGTGTCAGAGGGCGGAAGTGGTGTAGTGGCAAGTGGCACGCTTACCACGCGAGCGGTCCGGGGATCAAATCCTGGGTCGTGAGTCGCCCGGGCCAACCAAGCCTTCCATCCCTCCGGGGTCGGTTAATTGGTACCAGACTTGTCTGGGAGGATAAAAAAACACTGACTTGTACATCGGCTGGCCCCCGCAAGTCATTGTATAGGCCACATCGCATTCAAACGCCACTACGAATGTACAAATGGAAGTAGAATGCGTGCCGCATCCCAAAAAGGGATTGATCAACGGCAAATGCTTTATCCTTTTTATCCTTTTCATGTCAGGCTTTGCGGATTGAGCAAAAAGAGAAAACCCCTGAGGGGGTC